TGAAAAAATAATGGCATCATTAAAAAAATCTTCTTCTCAAGAACCACTGTGCTTGAAAATATGAAGCTTATGTGGAAGCATCCTCAGGTAGTGTAGATTCAAATTTGTTCAAATCATGACCCCTGGGGGTCGGGTGGGGCCACAATGGGCGATTAAAGTTTTACATATGAATATATAGGAAAAATCTTTAAAAATCTTCTTCTCAAGAACAGCAAAGCCATGATAGGTCATATTTACATGGAAGCATCCTCAGATAGTGTAGATTCAAATTTATTCAAATCATGACCCCCGGGTGTCGGGTGGGGCCACAATGGGCGATCAAAGTTTTACATAGGAATATATAGGAAAAATCTTTAAAAATCTTCTTCTCAAGAACAGCAAAGCCATGATTGGTCATATTTACATGGAAGCATCCTCAGATAGTGTAGATTCAAGTCTGTTCAAATCATGACCCCAAGGGGTCGGGTGGGGCCACAATGGGCGATCAAAGTTTTACATAGGAACACGTAGTAAAAATCTTTTAAAAAACTATTTCTTAAGAACAGCAAAGCCATGTTATGCATATTCATATTCATATGGAAGCATTCTTAGATAGTGTACATTCAAGTTTGTTCAAACATGACCCCTGGGGGTCGGGTGGGGCCACAATGGGTGATCAAAGTTTTACATGGGAATACATAGGTTAAATCTTTAAAAATCTTCTACTCAAGAACAGCAAGGCCGTGATTGGTCATATTTACATGGAAGCATCCTCAGATAATGTAGATTCAAATTTGTTCAATTCATGACACCCCCCCCCCCTCCCACACACACACTTTTATATTCAAACTTTTCAACCTTTCAAGACTGAACTGATTTCTGCTTTTTTCTAGCCATAGTGCTCAGGTGAGCGATGTGGCCCCTGGGCCTCTTGTTGTTTGTTTATTGTTAATGTCCCTCTCGGGAATTTATCACTCTTATGGAGACGCAACCTCTTGCCGGTGGAGGGCTGCAAATTTAGATTTACTGTCCTATACTTGGTACGCAGGGCCATCGAGCATTGGGGGATCTTTTTTGTGCCAGCACTTTGACAAAATCAACACACTGAAACAAAATTTCAAAGTGCGTTAAGAGTTTGGGACAAAATCAACACACTGAAAAAAAGAGTGTACATCAACATTTTTTACCACGCAGCCACATAAAGCACTTTGAAAAAAATATGTTTAAAACGAAATTCTGGACTTAGATTTTAGTAAAAAAAAAACAACAACAACATTATCTTCTTATATTTCTTTCGAAAATCAGTTGAATTGTTCTACCTTAATTGAGATCGAGGAGAAACAGGCAGAAGGTCCCTCATGCAGCCCAACTCTTTATCTTTCCCTTCCCAATTATATGTATTAACCTAACATGTATGACATAGATATACTTTCTCTCAATAAATTTGAGTTAACGCAAAATAGATGAAAAAAAACTGAGATAAGATTTCTGAAAAAAAAAATAGTAACGCACCCTATTATATTAAAGAAGAGAGGCTCAGATGTCATTTCGCTGATCTCGGCAACAACTACCAACTGACTATACTTATGCCAAAGAAGCTTTAAAAATTCAACTACAAATAAAAAAAAAACCATTAACAGTGTAACAACCGCATGCTATTTGACATGTCTAGCCCTTGTATGATATCAAATTACAGAGTGAGAAGTAATCTGAGTGCGTAGCTTTTGTTTATGAGAATTTTTGAGGAAAATGTATTAGTGAACAAGGTAAAAATTTCAGTCGCGTGAGTAATGTGGCTAAGGTTAATTTTTCCTACTATCAAATAAATGAGTCAATCATTGTTTCATATATGTTCACAATAGATATATATGATAGATAGATAGATTAGAGAGAGAGAGAAAGAATTTTCGTGGTATGGAAAAATAATAATTGCTCCCTTTTCCCTAAAAAAATGTGATGCTTTAAGTCACATATGGACCCTTAAATCACTGAACTTATTACAGACTGGATAAAATTAAAAAAAGAAGAAGAAAGAAACGATATTTCGCTATTAAACAATCATTCCTCCATTATTTCTTGAAGACCTATTTCCCTTCTAAAACATTTACGAGGATCTTTGGAAACACAACCTCTTAAAATATTTAAAACGTCTATATCTCAGATTCTGAAGTGAGGTCATCACCGAAAAGTTATCCATCCAGATTCAAATTATTATTTATCATACCTTAAATTTGCAAGGGTATTATCCAAGCCGTGCACTATTTTTTTTTTTTTTTAAAGTGCGTAATTTTTCAAAGTGCGATGTAACACAGCACCTACTGCGACACTAAAAATAATTTGTAAATCTATAAAAATGCTCTAATTTTTTGCTGCAAATGACAATGCTTCGGAAATTTCTCAGTTTTAATCTTTGATTACGATTTTGATTATCTAAATATTAACTAAAAATATCTAACTGTAATAATTGTTCATGAATGTATTGAAAATATACGTTTCTAATTTTTTGTTAACAATGCACTTTACTGAATGCAGCAGATAAAAAAGTCCAATGGCAATCAATACATTTCCTTTAACCATTTATATATATATATATATATATATATATATATATATATATATATATATATATATATATATATATATATATATATATATTAAGGAGGGATTCCTGTTTTGTTCCTGACTAAATGAAATATTCAAAGTATATTTGCTTATATGAGTTACATATTAGGATGTAATGGATTTAAAATATCGAAATTATCTTTCCTTCTCATAATTATACATCTTTGATTCATTGATTGATTGAATGTTGTTTTTTGTCCCGTTCGAGAATTTTTCACTCATATAGAGACGTTACCATATACCGGTGAAGGGCTTCAAATTTAGACCTTTACGCGGCACTCAAGGTCATTGAACAGTGAGGGTTCTTTATCGTGCCAACGTATACCATGACACGGGGCCTCGGTTTTAAAGGTTATACATCTTTGAAAAGAAATTGTAAACTGAGTCTGACATCTACATGTAGCAGGGACTATATTTTTTGCGGAACTGCGGCGTACGAAAATATCTCTTTTTCTGCTTCTTAAAACTTCTACAGGACAATGGCTTTAGTTAAATTTTTTAAACAATCAAAATCTAAGAGAACTTTTCTTAAGAAACTGAAATTAATAACCATGAACTAAAACAGTAAGATACCTCAAGTAAAAAAAATATTTTCTAAACAAAATATTTTTTTTAAAAAGATTTTGAAAGCTTCCAGTCTAAGGACAGAATTGAGCAAAAAATCAGAAAAAAGTCTTCTTTTTTTTCCTCTTACTTAACGGTCAGTCGCCCGCGTGGCGCAGTGGTTAGAGCGCCTGCTCTAGAGTCGCGAAGTAAGGAGTTGATCCTTACGTCGCGGGTTCGAATCCCACTGTGGGACGTGGAGACCGGTCCTTCGGATGAGACCGTATAAACCGAGGTCCCGTGTCGCAGTAGGTGCTGGCACGAAAAATATCCCTCACTGCTCAATGGCCGTAAGTGCCGAGTATAGGACAAAATTTGCAGCTCTCCACCGGCAAGTGGTGGCGTCTCCATATGAGTGAAAAATTCTCGAGAGGGACGTTAAACAACATACAAACAAAAAAAAAACTTAACGGTCAAAACGTTTTGTAATTGTATCATTTTGGATATTTGTATGACTACTTCACCATATGTGAAAAAGAGAAAAAGTTAAATATAGAAAGTATATAAGAATAACTAATATTCCCTGAAATGTTGAGAAAAATAGAGGAAAATAGGGATAGCTATTATCTATTTTACTTTAATTATTCAACTTTAAGTTAATTTGGAAATCTCACCTGTTAGACATTATTTCATATTGTCTTTTCATGCAAAAAGAAAAAAAAATTAATTTTTTGTAATAGAAGTAGGCATCGACTGATTGGAAACAATATTGTTTTATTATGAACGTCAAGGAAAACGATAATGACCTTGACATGACGTTGTGCCTTAAATAGAACGGTCAATTTTATTCTTAGTGATATTATCTTCTTCAAACTGTCGAAGTTTCATTAATTTTTTAAATTCAATAACCCTAACAAAAAAATACTATAGTTAACTATAGTTTACTATAGTTAACTATAGTAAATCAAAGTGTCAAAGTTATCACTATACTAAATCAAAGTTTTCAAAGTGATCACTATAGTGTCACAGTTATCACCATAGTAAATCAAAGTTTTCAAAGTTATCACTATAGTAAATCAAAGTTTTCGCCGTAGTAAATCAAAGTTTTCATAGTGATCACTATAGTATATCAAAGTTTTCATTGTGATCACTATAGTAAATCAAAGTGTCAAAGTTATCACTATAATAGTGAATCAAAGTTTTCACAGTGTCAAAGTTATCACTACAGTTAACTATAGTAATTTTTGTTAGGAAAATATAAAAAGAATCCCTCCTTAAATATGAAACTGTAGATTTTAAAATATCCAGCAGCTGCACCACAATTTTCTTGTCAGGTAAAATCAACTTAAAAATGAACTAGAAATATTAATAATTAAAGTATTGACAATAACTTATTTTAGCATTGACATTATTTTAATTTTGTGAGAAAATATAATTTTATATATATTGACATTATTAAAGGAAAATGCCCCTACGATCATTAAGAGAACAATGTAATTTCTGTCCACGAAATACTTATTCTTTTCCAAATAATGCTTCGAGAGAACTATGCAAATTAAAAAAAAAAATGGTTTGTTGAAAAAAGAACAAAAAATGATTAAGAGTATGTTTTAAACATTGCCTTCAACAATAAAAAAAAAATGATACTTTCAGACGACCATTCCAGAATCACATTAGCAAACGGAGTTTCAGACTATGTCAACGCCAATTATATTGACGTAAGTATTATACCGATGTTTATTTATTGATTATAATACTCTTGTATCGTTTAACATTTTTCACTGGAAACCTGGAGAAAGAATTAATATCTCATATAGCAAGAATAATCATAAATTTTCATTACTGAAAAATTTCAGGGTATCAATAAGACCAATGAGTATATTGCAGCACAAGGTATGTGTTTTTTTTTTCTATTTATTTGAAAATTCTATTTATATGAACACTTTATAAATGCAATTAGAATACAGATACAGTTTTTTTATGTTAATATATTTTTATCTCTTTGTCACAGGACCTCTTCAGAATACAGTTGAAGACTTTTGGATCATGATTTGTCAAGAATATGTCAATCATATCGTTATGCTTACAAACCTCAAAGAAGGGAACAAAGTAAATTCTTTATTACTTTACAAAAGAGTGTAATATTGGAGGTAGTCTGATATATCATGTCAAATAAATTACATAATCGTAGAATATGATCACCATGAGATTCAATAACTACTATATTTAAGGAATGAAGCTTATTTTAACCTATGGTATACGATATAACATAACTCGGGACAGTTTACGCTTTATAAACCGCGAAGCCTTATATCGTATAACATAGGATAAAATAAACTTCATTCCTTATAATTTAATTGCAGTGTAGACAATAAGACAATTTTTCCTCCAAAAATGGCTTCAAATTGAGCATATTTTAAAACTAACGTCAAGCGGAGTAATACGTTTTCGACGTAACTCATTGTGACGTAGGCAACTTATATGATATAAACTAAAACTTTTAGCAAATCAAATGACGTGTTACAACTAAAATTAAATTATTTTTGTGTGCTTAAAGCAGTATAGTTCAAGATCAGATGCAGTTACAAACTTATGTGAGAATAGTCAGATTTAAAACCAATGAATCTTAGATAAACCTTCTTTTACCTAACAGATAAAATGTTTCAAGTACTGGCCAGATTTACATCAGTCTAGGACCTTTGGTGTGATCCCACTAAGCGCGGATGAAGATAGTAACTTTGGTGTGATTTCTATTCACGCGGAAGAAGAGAAAATTTACGCCAATTACAAAATCAGGAAATTTAGAGTTATACATAAAAGGGTGAGACATAATACTGTATTTTAAAATCTCTCATTTTGCTTTGTAATATAAAGTTTGCTTTATTCTTAACATTCCTCTGGTAAAACTGTTTTTTATAATTTAATAGGTACATTGAAATAAAAATGTAATCTTTTTCGTAACCGTTGTCAATTTGATTTCACATGTAACGTTTATCCCTTTTTATTAAACAAATGTCAAATTCTTAGATTTTCGCTCCAAAGGGTACAAAAATACAAAAATATTACATGTAAATGATAATTCTGGAGTAGAACATTTACGATAATTTCAAACTTTTAAAACTTATTTCCAGACATCGTTTCTTGTTTAGGGATCTTCATACTTAATAGCATTGGGAGTATAAAAATTTGCTTTTTTAAATCAACAGCTAAAAGGGTCTCGTATAGTAACAGAATCTCGCGTAGTAACACATTATCACTATACTGCCTGGCCGGAACACGGGATACCGGAACCGCTCTGCCTTGCAGATTTCCATGACCATGTGACAAGGACAAAAGATAAAGGATACTATAGTGGTCCCACCCTAGTACACTGCAGGTAAAAAGAGGAATTTTAATGATTGTAATTAGTTTCATGTTGAAAATAATTAATCTTTCCTAGTAATAGAACGAAGTTGGTTTTATTTTTTATTTTTTGAAATTGTTGAAATGTATGTATGGAAACAGACATTATACCAGTTTATTCGTGGGTGAGAACATTTGTGATTTTATATTAAATATTAATTTAAACGTGTATTTATTGAGAATGTTTCGTCAGTCCCAATCATTTATAAACGCGGATCTTTTGCAAAAGGACGAATAAATATTGTTGGAAATAATAGTGTGTTTTCAACTTGACGTTTAAAGCTAGCGTTTTTTTTCTTTTAATGTATCTTTGTTCCTTTGCTAATCAAACTAGATGCCCAGCTTGATATCTGTTTTCTTCATGTCGATTTTACACTAAATGAAATCTTTGAACATCAATTTATATTATCTTGTAAATCCTCGGTACAATCTTAGTTCTGGCACTGGCCGTACAGGGACATATATCGCTATCGACGCTTTGTACAAGGCAGGCAAAACAGAGAGGAAAGTCAACATCGCGGAATACGTGAAGAAAATGAGGGAAAATAGAATGAACATGGTTCAGACTTATGTGAGTTAATCATTCTTTCATTGAGTATGCACGTTTAATAGCATACAACTAATTAATTGACATAATATCTGTAGTCAAAAAATAGAAACGAATATTAATTTAAAAGCAGAAGAAAGATACCTTATCAACAAAGAAAGAATATAGTTGAGTTAGAGAAAACTTAACGTGTTAGATTTTGCAAACATGTCCTCCGTATAAATTGGGTAAACTTGTTTGTTTATGTTATATTTAAGGAGCAGTACAAAACTATTTTTCTGGCGATTGAGGTTATGTTCAGGATTCCAGCATATAAACACACCAAACCAGAATTTGTAAAACAAGCAGGGCTTAGAGATTGGTATAAGTCACCAGATGAACGCGAATTAAAACAGAAGTTGCAGGTAATCTAAGACATGAGTATTTGATTCGAATGTGGAAACCGACTTGGAAATATGCCTGATATATTAATGTAATTATCAAAATATCCGTAATTTTTTTTTATCAAATTTTCAAATATTTGTAACATGATTATGTTATTATTCAAATATATGCAAGTTTTATACATTTATAAGTGTGAAAAAATGCTTTGGTCCATATATGTGCCAAAAATGGAAAATAGTACAAAAAAAGGTTTTAACATTTAGAGTCTTCTAAGGGCGCGGCCATCGTACACGGAAGATGATTACAAGCTAGCCAGAGAGAATGGAGATAAATCAGCTGTTCTTCCACGTGAGTAATTTATATGAATTCTTTTAAATTGGCTGTCAATTAATTTATCAAATATGACTCACTCTGAATATATCCAGTTTTATTTCAACAATAAAAATTCTTGATGAAATATGGAGATAACGAACTGTCAAACTCAAAAATCTATTGAAACAATTCAACTCGGGAACAGAGCAAAAGCGGACCTCTACAGACATCCGAGGTGGGATCAATTGCCATGGAGGAGTAAGCATCCCCTGTCGACCGGTCAAATCCGCCGCGTGCTCCTTGTCATGATAGGGCAAACGGAAAAATCCGTACACAATGCAGTGTGTAAACAATTGCCTAACAATTGGTATGAAAAACGACAGTAGTAATTCGACTTCATGATAGATTATATTTGCTGACAAGGTCATTGTATGGACAATAGAACATGCGAAATTCTGCCTTTAAACGAGAATGTTGATATCCTTGTTTCATCAACTCGTCAATATAGCTTTTTCTAATTGTTCGAACGTAGAGCATGCTCTTGCGTATTGAATAGAGTCAACTGGGAGACATAAAATCCGTATGCTGGAGATAAGGGTATACTGGTACATAAATAAGGGAAGTTGACGATAGAAAATTTGAAGTCACATTGTTGTTAGGTTACCATTAACGTCCTTTTCTAGTAAAATATCCAAATATGAAACAGAAGTCTCAGACTCTGAGGTATCATATATTTCAAGTTTACTGGGATATATCGAGTTGACATATGAATGGAAGTAACTATTGTTAATTGATAATACGTCGTCGATATATCTAAATGTTTAGTTGAAGGCCACAGAAAGTGTAATGATAGAATGTTAAGTCATGTCAATTATTTATGTTAACTTCTTGAACATCACTACATCAAAAATTTCTCTAAGATTTCATAATTTACATCCACCAGTATGCATGCGATACTAGTCTTCTACCAGCAAGTGCAATATGATTCCTTGTAATTTCGTTAAAAAAATCATCAAAGGGCAACAAATTGTACACTAATGGCCATCATTAAAAATATTTTTTTCCACCTACCCGACCCTAAAATCTGAAGTTAGGTTTGTAGGTAGGAAATTTTTTTTCCCTGACAGCATGCAGCTTTGAAAATACATTCTGAAATTTAATGGAATAATACATTTATAAATAAGAAAAGTACAATAGAAAGCGATTTGTAAACAGAATATCATACATTTAGAAGCAAAATTTAAGGTAAATTAATTCACAACTATTATTCAATTGAACTTATGAAATATCTCACGCCAATGTAAATTTACTGAATTCGAATAATTTAAAAGACAACTTGAGATTCTCAGATACGCAAAGACCGGAAATCCTAGTATATTGTTAAAACTATTATCAACTTCCAGTGCTTACACATGCAATGTACTTTTTCAAGGGCTTCGAAATTTGCAGTGGTTCTAGAGCATTTCGTTTTGAAGTCCCGAAGTAAGGAGCTAATTTTAAGTCACAAGTTCAAATCCCAATTCGGGACGTTGAGACCGGTCCTTTGCATGAGATCGTAAAAATTTAGGACCAATGTCGCAGTATCTGCTGGCACGAAAAGATCCCTTACTGCTCAATGGCCAAAAGTGCCCAGTAAGTCTAAATTTGGAGCCCTTCACCGGGCAAATGTTCAAATGCTGTCTTCCCAACAATTCTCGAAGAGATTTAAAGCAAAGAAATAACCAATCTTCAAAAGCCTAATTTTAGGAAAATACACTGGATGTCTCAGGAAGCTGTATTCTGATTTCAAAGTATTTGGAAAGAGTATGTAAACAATATTTAATTGAACCTATTCATATCTAAAAATGTCATACACAATGTCATAGTCGCGAACTTTAACCCATGAATAAAAGGCATGAGGAAAGGATTTCTTAATTGTATTCATGAAGATGAAATATACAGACATATTTACAACAACTACTATGGTCCCATATACATGTAGTACACATACGAACTGGTTATTAAATCAAAACTCAAATTAAATAAAATGCAGTGAAATTGATTGATGTGTTCACAAAGTGGGCCCCTCGTCTGCTCATGAGGAGGGGCTTACCATGCTTATTACGTAAGACAGGTTTGTAAATACCTTCGAAAAACTCTTAATTAGTCATGGTATATTTAATTAACGGAAAACTTCAAGATTGCGGGATTTTAATAAGCTAAAGGAATAAGGTCGATACGTCGCCGCTGTTTTATACCACGAACTATAACCCCTGTGATAACATGTTGTGGGTGCCATTTTGTTTCCAACAAACGCTTGAAAATCACAGTAGAACAAAATCAGCCGGTCTGATAAGAACGGATTTTGATGAAATTGTACTTTTAAAAGTTGATAAATATTGAAAAAATATTTAAATAATCTTATTTAAAAAAAAAAAAAACTTCTCAGTCGGCGCGATTTAATTGGGTCGGTCGCGTTTTTTGGAAACAAAGGTAACTTTTATTTTGGCTTAATCTGGGTATAGTTGCATGCTAAGAATCAGCTCAATATCTGCAAGAATGTTGAAGAAATATGCGGAAAACCAAGTTGGACAGAGAGAAAAAGGGGGCAGACAGATGAGGAGGAAACCTATAGTCCCATCAAGTTTTACCTGCAGGGGGTTTAAAATCAACCCACAATGTACTGGAATTTAGAAAAAAGAGACCCAAAGGCGTTAACGGTCACCTGAGTATAATACAACAATTTAGAACAAAGAGTATACAATAAACTGATAGATGAAGCTTTGTTGCCCAAAAGCAAGAGAAATAGGATGATCAGGATCAATAAAGTAATTAGTCTAATATTCAGTAGTAACTCATAAATTAAATTCTTATCTATCCTCCATTTATCACTATCACCATGCAGACTATTAACAAACTATTAGTTCTTCTGCACTACTTTAAACCCCATATTGTGACCTCTCATATTGGCCTCTTTTGGTCTTTGAAGAACATTTAATGAGATTAGTTATTTTTGTCCCATTTTTATTTATTTACAAGTCTACCTGATCATTTAAAGTATGAAAGTACTTTTTGTATTATACAATATTTTTTTGGAATAATTCTCTTATTCTATTAAATTTCGAATACATTATTTACAGTGATTAATTATCGAGCGTGAATGGCAAAGGGGAATAACTTCTCTCAGTAGAATACAAATTAATAGAGCACTGACCAGGACCAGAACATTTGACCAAATGGTCCTGATATTCAACAATCTGGTAAAAATATCCTTGCTTATTAAAACTTTTATTGTTTCCCTTCGATATGCCGAGGAGCAGAGAAGATTTTCAAAGAAATAATGCATTTTCACTATAGATTCAACATACCCCTATCCTAACATTAAAACCCATGTCCAAGGGTCATAAAATTCACAAATTTGGAAAAGGTACCCTAATCATCATAACTATGCACTTAGTTGAAGATTTTCAAAGAATTAACACATTTTCTCTATATTATCAATCCCCCCCCCCCCCAGAAACACCAAAACCTGGAGACCACAAGTTTTAAAATTTTGTAAGAAGCACAACTGTTCATCCTAACTACATGTATGCACTTTGTTTACATGTATCTGCTCAATACTTATAAGGAGCAGATAGGATTATTTAACAAAATTAAAGCAGTTTTTTACTATATAATCAAAAGAGCCCCACCCTTACCAGAACATCTGACCTAGGGGCCAGGAAACTCACAATTCTGGAAGAAGCACTCTTGTTCATCATAACTATACACTTAGTTTCCTTGCTTTATGATTAGGAGCAGAAAAAGAATATTTTCAAAGAAAGTATGCTTTTTCACTATATAATTAATAGAGCCCCGCCCTAACACCAGAGCCCCTGACCCAGGGGCCATGAAATTCACAATTTTGGAAAAGGCATCCTTGTGCATCATAACCATGCACTTAGTTTATTTAAATAATACCCAGGCGCAGAGAAGATTTTCAAAGAATTAATGCATTTTCACTTATAATCAATAGAGCCCCGCCCTAACACCAGAGCACCTGACCCAGGGGCATGGAATTCACAATTTGGGAAAAAGCATCATTGCTTATCATAATCATCGCAGTACAGTTAAGGTTACCCATGAAACTTTTATGGTAATGAGGTCATAATGAGGTTTGACGTCATGACAGTCGCTCCGCCCTGATATATCTATATAAGGAATTAGAGCTCAAAATAACTATTTAACGACAATTGCAAGAATTTGTAACAAATGTCCGTATTCTTGTCTTTAAATAAATTAGAAGTAGTGATTTTCTCTTGTTTAGATCATCATGTTGTCGAAATAATTCGCTTTTTATTGTGTCGTTTGGCTGCACTCGGCTTCAGCCAAGCGCTTGCACTCAGTGACACGGAATGTTGTTTACATAAAGGACGTGGAGACAGCAGCTGAGATTTGCGGTGGAAAATACAGCAAACAGGTAAATCTTTTAAAGAGAACAGTAATAAAGTAACAGATTTATGGTTTGTTTATCAGATGATGCAGATATTTAGAGAAATCATGGACTACTGAGGCTATTGCACCCCACCTCTCTACCCTGGGCAGCTGCAGGGGTTTTCATATTTGTACGCATAGGTATCAAGATTATGTACGCATAGGTATCAAGATTTAGACATACTATTGTTAACATCAATATGAAATAATCGAGTGTGTATGTATAATATGTATACATGTAGCAAGATATATTGGCAGTGCCCAGGAGGTGTGTCTACACCCCCCCCCTCCCCTGACACACACAACACACACAAACATGATATGAAGTTGCACACCAACAGTTTAATTTGAACTGAATATGCAATTCCTTGTACTTCAACTAATTTTTGAGAGAATGCATGTATCATGGAGATCTGCAGACATGCAAAAGTTTGCTGTTAAATTTATTAAAATTAATTATTGTTCAATTTCAATCATTGATAAAAGATTCACTAGACATATAATTATGTTGACATACAATCATCTAAATATGTAATTTGAAAAGGAAAGCAGGATATCGAATGATAATTTAGCACATCCATAAAGTGTATATTTCTGTAAAGTGAAACTGTATTGTGTATTTAATATACATGCATATATGCATTTTATACCCCAGTCCTGTAAATCAAAAATAGGATTTAAAGTTTAAATTTTCACCAGCTAGTGTTTCATACTTTAAAATAATTCTTAGCATCTGTGTTATGAAATTCTAAATCTGTAGAATGATATTTCTAAATTTAAAATTGAATATCATGTTATTTTATTTTTCTGGTCTGAATACATGATGTACAATTCTTTCATCATTGTAGCTGTCAGGTGCTGCATGCTTATAATCCAGGGTTATCTACAGAAAACATATGCAACAATTTCTAAACATGGTATGTTCACTATTAAAACATTTCATAATAATTTTATTGTATGCCAATATAATAGTTTTTTCAATTTTGAACAGATGCAAGAATTTCATTTATGAATTTGTTTCCTTGAATCACTTATTTTCCAAGCTTAAATTGCTAAATTGCAAATGGTAGAGTTTTAAAATTCCCAGAGAAGTTTTGTAACAAAAGATTTCATGAATTTTAGAAAATGTTATATTACATGGTTTGTTTTGCACATTGCAGTGCCATTTATTTTAACTAATATGTATTTGACTCATTACATTTTTGGTATATTTTATGATACAGTAGCTGTTCACAAAGAATTTGAACCATTCCAGTGTTGACACAGACAGCAAGTGTCTTGACCAAGTAAAAAGGTATGCTTAATGATATCAACAACACACATATTCATGGCACTATTATTTTGAAAATTATTTTAATAAATAAAAACAGCAGAGTTACAGATATTTGATACATTTTTATGTGATTTCATTAGATTTTACTTATTACATTGTTTCAAGTTTTACTGTTTTAATCACCAGCACACTTAATAATATTTTATTTTATTTTTAGAATGGATTTTATCCCAGAGGACATGTCTTGATGGAAAAACTATGCACCTGCTCAGAATTACCCTCACAGCCTGGCTTTGTATGGGAGAAGTTGTAGTTATTAAATAAATTTACTAGATGAATAATACTTTAACTGTTATCTTTCAATGGCAACAGTGATATGAATGTCAGCTTTTAAGGCTGTAAAGGTGTGAAAATGCAGATTTGCATGAACATGGTGTTTTAGATACATTGAACCAAATAAAGCCTAATATTGGCATAATTATATATTTATCATGATCACTTGTATCAAAGAAGTATCTATTTTCTTATTACATTTTTATATCATTTAGCTCGGGTGCTTTCATTTTTTTTAGAGAAAATATCAATCCCTAACCTTTTATACACAAGTTTATCACAGATAAGACCCCCCCTCCTCCTTTTAAAAAAACAAAATGAAAGCACCCGCTCTAAATGAGATGCAATGGTTATATCCCAATAAATAAAAACTAGATCATGATGTTTACAAGTTAACAATGCCCAAGTATATATCATTGTCCCTTTATCAAGGGAGCTAAGAAGCAAAATATAAGGGGTTAGGTATGCAGAAAGGAGGATAGAACTAATTATATTAACATTTTAATTAATTAAAATTAATATTTTGGAGAGCCACTGAGGAAAACCCATATGTGAAACTTCATTCTGTTGTAGATATATATTTTTTTATTATGTCTGTGTGTGTGTGTGTGTGTGTGTGTGTGTGTGGAGAAAATGCGGAAGGTATTCAACAATGTCTTGTCTGGTGTATGAAAAGGACGAAGACATACAAAGGACAGTAATTAAAGTCAAGATTTTTTATATGCATACCGTTTTGAATAAGTAAAATAAAGCTTGCATAGTCTGTAGATGTTACATGTTCAAATTCGCGAGGTAAACAAACTCTACAAATACCAAAGAGTTACCTCCCGTGCCGGGTCACTAATGTGTTTGAAAACTATATTTAGAATGAATGTTTCAAGACTTCGATTTTAAACTAAAAAGTTCAAGGGCAAGGCGACATATGAAGAGGTAGGTTTTTGTATTAAATTGTTTATTTTACTGCATACTTTTTGAAAAGTGATGCTCATTTCTCTGTAATTCGCTAAGTAATTTATTATTTCACATGAAATGCGGAAAGTACCCCATTTTTTCAATACCGGTCTTTGTTTTACTGAATAACTAAATAATACCAGAAATCTAACTGAATGAGCATTATTTTTGAGATAGGATAGATATCTGGGGACACATTGAAACCTTGTGCAGTGTAATTTTTCTTTGCCTTGCCCTTGAACTTTTCGGTTAAATTTGATATTTTATATCTTGAGCTAAAAAAGGAGCCCACGTGACTACTAAGGGTCACATGATGACAAAAAATATCAATATTAAAAGCGAAGGACACACTCTTCAAGAAGACACAAATATATTTTCAGTAGAGTCGTATGCTAGAAAATAAGAAGGTTAAACTTCAAGTGTCTTGTTTTCGGTGTCTTTTTATAGAAAATGTTGCCTTAACTGTACTGCGATGCTCTTTGTTTGTTTAAATAATACCTAAAGGCACAACGAATGACGACAGATAGCAATGTCACCTGAGTAACTCAAATGACCTAAAGATTTTAAAAAGAAAAATTATAGACTTCGACATTCACTTTTATGATAAGTATAACTCCTTAAGAATACATCATGTTCTTCATACATAATTATGCACATTATTTGGCCAAGTTTGACTTACCCTTTGTTCTAGGGATAATTTTCTTATGTCTGGAATGTTATGTGTTTTGCATATTCCATTCAGACGTCACGGATGTGTCTGCAAATTAATTAACAATGAAAAAAAAACTGGAAGTTTAATGTCAAGACATTAATCTGGCTAAATAGTTAGTAAATAATCCAGATTGTAAATCTTGTAGTTTTTGGTTATTGAGTGAGGTTTCTTATTGTAGTTGACAAGTACAATGTCTTCCTATCTTCAAGTGTACCAAATCGAGGCAATTACATCAATGCTGTTACACTCTCGGTGTGTATTTTTTTTTTATCTATGACTTTTTAAAAAGTTTTTTGTGACGAAATATTTTTTAAAAAGAATTAAAGTTTCACTCTGTGGAAAACAAACCATCTCATAACGAAATACAATAGATACTGAAGATGTAGAATTAAGTCTGAATGTCCGAAAATGTACATGATATATATTCATGACAAAAATCTAACGATGCTGATAACATAGCGAGGTTAATTTTTGATGAAATTCTCATCTTTTGATTAAATGAAACTCTATACTATGCTCAATTTATATGATGCACTTGATTTTTTTTTAACCTTTTCTTAGTCCTACACAAAAAACAACGCATTCATAATAACACATTATCCCTCACCAGAGGACGCTGTAGACTTTCTGCGCCTGCTCATTGATCATGCATCAGACATCGTGATTTGTATGGATCCTTTGGAAGATGTTAAATCAGTGAGTAGATATTTTGATATAACGTTTATTCAATATATTTTGTCAGAAACTAGGCACATGTACTCAAATTGAGAATTATCATGCATTTCATAACAGACAGAAACGTGGATGCCTTCTTCCATCGAACCAAAATGTGTACAACCATTTACCGTATACCGCGAATTTAAGCAAGTCAGTGAGATGAGTTGCAAAGGTACACCAATCTACATTTGTCAGGATGGAGTAAGTAGCGTCTTATGGTACTGGAAAGGTAACAGAGTGTAAATTCTAAGGTGCCTGACTAAATTTATATTTTCCTTTGAACATTTTCAAACCATCGAATTTCTATGAACGTGAATTACTTCACAAAGCAAAGGAGAACGGAGATTGTATGTTTTTTTCATATCATTCTTTTTTCTCTCTCTTACTTTTATTCTTATGTTTTTAAACAGTTCATTTGACGTATACAGAAAACCTTGTCTTATACGACACCGCATGTTTAAAAGAATTGCGGAAACTGACGAAATTCTGGATTAGACAACACTTTTATCAACTGAGAAAATTAAAAGGAACTTGAAGTTTACATCGTAATATACAATAAGTTTTATTGGAATTATAAACACGTATGGTCAAAGAACAAGGCATGGTAACGGTCGAATTGACACCTTGTTTGACATAAAAATCAAGGCACAGTTAAAATTTTGATAGTTTGTAAATAAGAACTTTAAATATTTGTTTTAAATCCACTATCAAGTTTGGTTAAAAGTATAAAAGGACGCACAAGAGCGTGGCAAAATAGAACATTTTACAAAATGATCTCCATTCTGGAAGAATTTCGTCAAATCTAAGTTATTTTTCACCTCGGGGAACATTAGAGCACAAGCTTGCCTATCTAAAATTTCCACACACGAAATATATCTGGTACTAGTGCATGAAATATATAAATTTTGAAGATAAGCCTGTTTGAGTTCTGTGCCTGTTTGAGTTTTATGAGACAAAACGTGCGTTGGAATTGAGAAAAATTCGAATAAAACCGAGAAAATTCGGAAACTGACTTATAATTATCTTCCTGTGACCTGTGTGTATGTTTTAAGTCTGTGTTTTCTGAAACAAAACGCGCATTGAAATTGATCAAAATTTCAATAAAAATGAGAAATTTCAGAAATTGACCAAAAACATTTTACCTTTCTGTTATCAGTGTATCAAAACGTAGAATGATTTTTATTTTTTAACAGGGATAATAAGAGGTATTTATTCATGAACTATTGCATCGTTCTAAAAGCGATTTAAAGCAGGGGCCACGCAAGGGTCTTAGTCAAAAATAAGTGAATTTACAATCATTTTTAATTAGAGTAGAACTATGTGTTGCATAATAAATAAATTTCAATGTGCATTTCTAAGAAATAAAGCATTTCACATTTATAATAAATTTTTAAATCTTCTTAGTGAAGCTTTCATTAAGTACATTTTTCTTTTCTTTAGTCAAAGAACAGGGGTTTCTCAGCGTCGATTATAGAGCCAAACGAAATTGAACTCGACCAGGCTAGATGGCGGATAACATATTTGTTATACTTCGCTAATTATTTAAAGACAGAGGGTCCTATAACTCTAGTTAGCAGGTAATTAAATTAAATCATTAAAATTTATTTATAGGAGGCATTTTTAAGGACAGCGTTTCTAGGCTAACCATCTTGACAACAAGTAAAGAATTGTGCCCTATTGAAATTCAGTGACCGAACGAAATAAACTCCTCTCCCTCTCCCCCACCCCGAAGTAACTGTCCTTTGCATAAAACTTTATAATAAGTACAAGTATTGGCCATATAGTTCAAGGACACTTATGTGGGTTTTTTTTCCAAAAAGAGATATCAATAAACACTATTTTACTATCCAAACATTTACTTTTACTGAACAAATTGGAAACAGTTTTCTTGTAGTGTAACCATCTCGCTAGAATGCGATTATTCCTCTCTAGCGGTTGAAAAAAAAAAGATAAGCATAAACAGTTGTTCTGTTGTTTTGATTATAAAAAAATCAATAACCTCCTCCATTTCAAAAATCTGGAAGAAGGTTGCACTGTTCATTACCTACATAAAACTTACGACACAGGCTAGAAATTTCAGACGATCACTGCTACATGAGAGAATAGGAGGATAAATCTTGGGTAAATCGTGTATTTTTTTCAATTTTTTAGTTTTGCGGTTTTTTTTTATTGTCATAAAATACGAAAATGTGTACAAACTACAGACCCCGAAACGAGGTCGATATAAGTATATATGCATATGTAAGAGACCGCCTTCCCTGGTGACATGATGTTAAATAGCAGTCAATT